TGGCTCCTTCTTAAATCTTTCCCCTCTCACCTTAAACCTATGCCCACTAGTTTTCAATTCCCCATCCCTGGGAAAAAGACTATATGCATTCGTCCTATCTATGCCCCTCGTAATTTTATACACCTCAATAATGTCACTCCTCATTCTGTTACGTTCCAAGGAATAAAGTCTTATCCTGACCAACCTCTCCCTATAACTCAGGCCTACTAGTCCTGGCAACATCCTCGTAAATCTTCTTTACTCTTTCCAGTTTAACTATGTCTTTCCTATAACAAGGTGACCAACACGGTATCCAATTAAACCCAATTTCCCTACAGATTCCTCATAAATCAGAAACAGTTCTGAACTTCTGAAGAAGGGTCACTGGACTCGAAACTTTAACACTGTTTTACTCTCTCCACTGATGCTACCAGACCTGTTGTTCCGTCAGAAAATTCTGTTTTTACCCCACTTTCAGCCAGTGCGTTGTGAATTATAAAAACTCAAAAAAAATCCCTCCCTGGAATTTCTTTTACTGCTATCTGACATTTGTAAACTAATTGCCAATTTCTTTCCAGTGGGAGAGGTTCCTCATTAATTACCGTCAATTTTGAGTACTTATTATTAATCTATTGTTCACACATTGACATAAGTTAGACATTAATGCAGCTATCTGTAATTGACAGTTTTAATTCCAGGAGCAGCGGGCACAAAAAATGCTGCAGAATTCCGTTGGTGAACTGAAGTTAACATTCAATGTTAACATCATCTCTCGATACAGGTAATATCTTTGAATTATTTCTTCTCTACGTAGATTTGTTGGTCACACTTGTACTGAGTTTTCCCATTTTAAATGCCTGTGGCCTCATTCACTAGGGGTTTTCCTATATGAATTCGTCACTGAGATTGTGCAATCTAGCTGCTGGGTTCACCAGAAATGCTTACTCATCATCCTCAGCCCTTTTCAGTAATTGAAATCAATAACTTTCAATCAAACTATTTTCCCTTGATATCCAATGGCTTTGCCATTTCTGAAACCCTCACTATCAACAATCTAGTTTCTGGGCAATGGTAACCTCCAAACAGGACCAGCCATATAAACATTGTGGCAAGATGAGTGGCAACAATGATAAAACATGCTGTGTCTTCCACTGGAACACAGACCTTGCCTTTGTTCTTCCCATCTTTCACTCATTTAAAACCCATTCCATTTCTAAGTATTTCCCATTTTGACAGAAGATCACAGATCTGAAACATGGACTCTGTTTTCTCTCTACAGATGCTGCTGGACATGCTGAGGACATCCAGCACTCTCTCTTGTTTTGGATTTCCAGCATCCACAGTATTTTGCTTTCATGTTAGCCTACAACAGCTGGATATTGGGAGGGTGATCAGTTAATCCAGGAAATTAATTTAACAGTTGGCTGAGAACAAGAGTTTTGGGATATAAAGGCATGATAGGGGAGAGTCAGTGGGAAACCTGCAGTGATTACATTTCATTTCAATTGTAGAGGCAGGGCAGAAACTGAGGCACAAGAAGAAAACGTTTGATTGTTGTTTGGATGCAGAAATCCAGAGGAGTTTAAAAAAAAGAGCTGGCAGAGGATTGGGAGCAGTTGAACGGGGTTGGAATGAAATGCTTCAACACAAAGATTAGCGGCATTAGAAGTGATTAGCTAAAGTAGAACAGCAGAGAACCAAGGTAGTGACAATATCAATTTCCATTAAATACAGAAAGTTGTCTAAGGGAGAGGGCACTGAGTGTGCAAAGATGTAGCGACAAGAGAAGGATTGCAAGATCTAGTTCAAGGGCTTAGATTGCAAATGAAGTTCAACCCAGTAAGGGGAAACTGTAACTGAATTGACATCTCTGATGTGAGAATTCTTACACACTAACACTGGGTCAATGATAGCTCAAGTTTATGCAATGAGGAGATGACAAGGGTTTGCAAGACAGAAAATAATTTCAAATGAAAAGCTTCAATTCCTCATAGCTTTGAGGAAATTTGTTTAGAGTTGGATTTGGTAAATGTAACAGGAGAGGCTGGATTGGATGGCCAGCGTCTGGACTTCTTTAGCATTTGTACCATCACTTTGTCATTTCATCTCCCCTTCCCTCTACCCTATCAGAGACCTCCCTTTTTGTTCAGAGATAGTAGGAACTGCAGATGCTGGAGAATCTGAGATAACAAGGTGTAGAGCTGGATCAACACAGCAGGATGTGGATGAACAAATCTTCCCTCCCCTGACCGCATCCCAAAACCAGCCCAGCTTGCCCCCGCCTCCCTAACCTGTCCTTCCTCCCACCTATCCCCTCCTCCCACCTCAAGCTCCACCCCCATCTCCCACCTACCAGCCTCATCCCGCCCCCTTGACCTGTCCATCCTCCCTGGACTGACCTGTCCCCCCCTAACTCCCCACCTACACTCACCTTTTCTGGCTCTACCCCCGCCTCTTTGACCTGTCCGTCTCCTCTCCACCTATCTGCTCCTTTTTCCATCTTCCAACTACCTCCCCCTCTCTCCGTATTTATTTCAGAATCCCCTTCCCCTCCCCCATTTCTGAAGAAGGGTCTAGACCCAAAACATCAGCTTTCCTGCTCCTCTGATGCTGCTTGGCCTGCTGTGTTCATCCAGCTCTACACCTTGTTATCCCTTTTTGTTCATCCGGTTTCCTCCACATTTAACTGGTTTGAAACCATTTACATTTATGTTTTTCTTCAGTTCTTATGAAAGATCCTCCAACCGTAATGCTGACTAAGTTTCTCTGTTCGTGAATGCTCTTTGATTAGCTGAGCATTTCCAGTTTTATTGAGGTAATAAGGTGTAGAGAACAAGCCAGCTTGGTGAGCAAGTCAACAACCTCACTACTAAGTGTCAGTGGTGGACAGAGTGGTTACTTGTGGATGTGGGGCCAGTCCTGGATGGTGTTAAACTTCTTGAGTGTTCTTGGAGCTGCACCCATCTAAGTAAATGGGAGTATTACATCACACTGCTGACCTGTGTCTTGTAGATGGTGGACAAGCTCGGGGGGCGGGGGGGAAGTGGTCAGGAAGTGAGTTACTTATCGCAATATTCCTAGCTTCTGATCTGCTTACGTAGCCACTAAGTTTACGTGGTGAGTCCAGTGCAGTTTCTAGTCAGTGGTAACCCGAAGGATGTTCTTAGCGGGGGATTCAATGAGGGTAACACCATTGAATATCAACGGGCAATGATTAGATTGTCTCTTATTGGAAATGGTCATTACCTGGCAATTGTGTGGTGCAAACGTTACTTGCCATTCATCAATTCAAATCTGACACTGATGAAGCAGCTGAAGGTTCGGCCTAGAACACTACCATGAAGAACTCCTGCAGAGATATCCATGTGCTGAGATGACTGACCTCCAACAACCACAACTATTTTCTTATGTGCCAAGTATGACTCTAATCAGTGGACAGTTTGCCCCAGTACCTATCTATTCTATTTCTGGTAAGGTCTTTGATGTAACACTTGGTTGAATATGGCCTTGATGTCAAGGGTTGTCACACACACCTCATTTCTGGAATTTAGCTCCTTTGTCCATGTTTGAGCCAAAGCTGTAATGAGGGCAGGAGCTGAGTGGCCCTGGCAAAACCGAAACTGGGCATCACTGAGCAGGTGCTGTTGACAGCGCTGTTGATGACATCTTCCATCACTTGACTGATGATTGAGAGCAGACTGATGGGCGGTAATGGGCTGCTTTTTGTGTGCAGGACATATGTGGAAAATTTTCCACATTGTCAGGTGAATACTAGTGTTCAAACAGTATTGGAAGAACTTGGCTAGGGGACGGCAAGTGCTGGCGCACAGGTCTTCAGGACATGTTGCCCTATTACAGTGAGAGGAGAAAGATTTAAAAAAAGATAGAATAGGCAACTTTTTTTTTTAAAACAGAGTGGTTCATGTATGGAATGAACTTCCAAAGAAAGGGGTGGATGTTGGTACAGTTACAGTGTTTAAAAGACAATTGGATAAGTATATGAGTAAATGTTTGGAGGGAGATGGGCCAAGCGCAAGTTTAATTTGGGATTATGGTTAGCCTGACCTGGTTGGACCAAAGGGTCTACTGCCCTGGTGTATGACTCCAGGACCCAAAGCTTTGTAGTATCTGTGCCTTTAACTGTTTCTTGATATCATGCGGAGTGATGTAATTGGAGAGCAAAGCCGATTTAATGGGCAGCACAGTGGCTCAGTGGTTAGGACTGCTGCCTCACAGCCCCAGCGACCCGGGGTTCAGTTCCACCCTTGGGCAACCGTGTGGAGTTTGCACATTCTCCCTGTGTCTGCATGGATTTTCGCCAGGTGCTTAGTTTCCTCCCACAGTCCAAAGATGCCCAAGTTAGGTGGATTGGCCATGCTAAATTAGCCGTAGTGTTCAGGGATGTGTACAGTAGGTGTGTTAGCCATGCGAAAGGCAGGGTGGTGGATGGGTCTGGTTGGGATGCTCTTTGGAGGGTCAGTGTGAACTTGTTGGGCCAAATGGCCGGTTTCCTAGACTGTAGGGATTCTATGGAATAATTATAGTACTAGGTGGAGCAAGAGTAATTATATAATTGGGTGTGGAGAAAGTAATTAGAGAATGCAAGCAGAGAGGTTAAATACAGAATCAGGGTGGAGCGTGTGTAAGAGAAAGGGGGCAATTAAGAGAGCTGGGCACGGAGAGGGCAATTAGAGTAATTATAGAGCCGGGCACGGAAAGAATACTTAGAAAATCAGTGGGGGATTAAGTACAGAATCTGGTAGGGTGAAATTAATTACAGAATCACTGGGGAGACAATTATTACAGAATTAGTTTAGAGAGTAATTAACAGATGGAGAATAACACCATTCAACTTGATGTGCAGAAGTTAAGGGTCTCAATGGGAGCTGAAGGTCTATTGTCATATAATGTCAGAGAATCAATTCCAGCCAGCACTGCTACTATTTACTGAACTTTACTTCCTCAAGTTTGAACTAGTCTTTGGATACACAAATGACCAGGAAAAAAACAAGCCCACAATGTTCTGGTTTAATATCTCTGGATCACATTCACTGCTTTATGAAGATATCCTCCACTGTTACACAGTACACACAAATAAAGCTCGTGCTCTTGATGTGAAAACACAGTTATGGTTCATTGTGCACTGGTGTCCTTATTTACAGATCTAGCAGCTAAAAATGGTCATGATTCAGCATGGATCAGCTTTACAAGAGGAACTCGCAATCTGAATGTGGCAACACAGACATTTCAAAAATCATTGTGGAATATTTTCACACAAAAATTCAATATAAATGGTATACTACATTGTTTTGGCAATACATAGTAGCAGAATATATACAATTCAGTAACAGCCCTGGTTTTAAGCCATATGTAACCTCTAATCACTGGTCCCGTGAGACATCACATGGCACATCACCGCTACTTGCCATGGAACACAACAGGCTAACATGTTTATACAACTGAGCGAGCTCGGACACTCTCCATGGGCAGAGATGTGACACCAGCTTTAACACACAACAAAACATACTGGGGCAGACAAATAACCTGCAGTATTGAGTACTCACTGAAAACCCATCTGCAGTCGTGCTACATGCTGCTAGAAATCGTTATAACACTTGTATGTTAGTACTCAGCTGCACTGGAGACCTACACTTTCAATCTTTGAATAACGAAACCTACTTTCATACAGAGACATCAGACAGATTTCTCTGACACCTGTCTAAATCTGATTTCAAGGACGATTGCACATTGAACTACAGAGAGCATTGCTCTTTCCAGTCAGCAGAACACTTTTAAACTCATTACAAGTCTCCCATTCACAGTATCCCAAACTGCAGTCATTCCCCTTGCCAAGCAGCTTCCAGGGCACATACTGAGATTCAGCCAGTCCCACAGGCACCAGGCTCTCACACAACCATTTTCTGTCAGGGTTGGCATTGAATGCCAGCTGTGGACTAACTGTATCGCCATTTCCAAATTTACAGACTGGATGATAGGTGATGGGACAACTCTTTTTCACACTTGTATGTGATCCAGCTCAACTCCTAATGCACAGTATATTCAAACCCAGCTCAAATTTACAAACATTGAAGCATTGTTAGTCTCTGACTGCAAAGTGAAGTTTGAAAGTAGGATTGAGAACTTTGCACTTACTTGTACCAATATCCTAGGTAACAGAAGAGCTAAACTAAAAAAAAAAAAGTCTGCTGCATAAAATGCCACAAGTTAGCAAGATATGTTCAAGAAACTTGCAAATTCAATCCCATTGTACAAGGCAACATCTGTATAACTAGAGGTTGGAAAATTGGACCAGCTATGGACTTTACTGTCAATATTGGAGTGATCACTTGAGTTAGTGATGCCATACAAAGCATTGGTCCTTGCATCAGAGATACCAACAGCAGCAGTAAAACTACTAGCTGCCTCTAAGCCCGAATCCTGAGATGTGATTTATGGCACCAAAGTCTGCTTCTAGATGGGTGAACAATTGCTTGCAGTGTTACTCAAGGCAATGACTGGGGTAATGATTTGATGAGAGTATGAAGGAAACACACTGCAGGGAAGCTAAAATGAGACTGGGTCTGTCGAGGATCACAGTGGTCCCACATCACCACCAGTTCCACTTTATGCCCAAGGTGTTGTTTTACATAAGTTGAGAGTTGCTGCATAGTAACATTAGGACTGGATAGCTCAGTGACCTCATCAACTTAGTGCCCTAAAGGAATGGACAGATACCTCTATACACCTCCCACAAGCGGGATTGGGTGCTTACTGAAAAAACTTGGAAGCAAATCTATTGTGGCAATAAAACAAAGAGAAGTCTGAGTATCCTTTTCCAAGGGAAGTATGCTTCATTGTTCCTGCACGGAAAGGTTAGTGTCTGAATTTTAACACTGACCTCAGTGAGACTGATATTTCACCAATCATTATGGTACAGTTATCCCTTCTCTTCCTTAACTAATCCTGAGGACCCCCCTCTGCAGAGATACAGAAATGACGGAGATACACGAAACTATTCTGTTTGTTCTATTTTGACTATATTCTCAAAACACTGAAATATAGTACAACAGAAACAGAATCCTGTGTGTTTTGGACAGCAATAATGCCAAAGTGATGAGAAGATGTTTTATGTCCATGTGATGATATGTTATGTTAATACAACAACAGGAAACAAAAGTCAAGTGAACTCAAGGTGGATTAATAGGTAATTGGCACACTGCTCTGGTACACACTCGGTTATAAACAGAGACAGCAACGTGATCACATGGAAACTTGGACCACATAAGCAGCAAATCACTCTCCTAAGGATGGATTTCACCTTATCTTTTCAAATGCTGTTCCCTAACATCACCCCGGGTTACACGTCTTCAACAAGTAAACTTACTCCCTCAGAAAAGACTCATTGTGGGCTCTTATTGCTAACTGTAGGAGGTGGCCATACTGTCAACTTCGACTATTTAAATACTTAAAATAAAGGAACTTAGGTCCCCAGCTAATACCTGGAGATGTCAGGGGCTCAGTGGGAGGTGGTGCACCCCACACAGGCTCAGCCCGACTCTCACCATTCAATAATATTCCTCAGATGCCATGTGGAAGCGCTTTGAGAATGGCTGTGAGCAGATTGCATCTCTGGGTCTAATTTAAAAGAAATATTTTTCAGGGTTGAAACTTTTGGAAATGACAGAAGCATCCCTCTACCATTGCAAAGCAGGTTGAGTGTTCCAACAACACAATAAGAGTAAGTGTCAGGGTTTAAAAAGTAGCAAAACAATCTTAAAGACAAAAAGTGCTCTGAGTTGGGTAAAATTAAAATTATAAAAATTAACTCAAAGAAAAATGTGAATATAGTAGTACAGGATTTGAAGAAGATCTGGATTGAGAACCAAATGAATATTTTAATTTGATAGCTGTCTTTAGTAGTGAAGGACTGGATTATAATTTCACTCTGGGACACAGTTTTCTTATTGTCTTCATTACAACAATGGCTTCAAACTTTGAGTTACAATAATATGAAGGTCATGGGTGATGGCTAGTTACATCAATTTGTGAGTCAGTTAGATACTGTGCCAGTCAGTTAATGGTTCAATACACAGTGTGTCAGATATGGAGTTGGCCAGACACCAGCGAAACACAGTCAGTCAGAAACTACATGTTGTGTCAGTCAAATAATACATTAGTTATCATGTCAATGAGATACTGTCAGTTGGCACGTGAAAAATTTTCCATCAAGTCCTGTTGTCAGACTGCCTCTACATAAGAGTTTTGATTTGCTGTTTCCCAGACAAATCCTGAAATTAAATATATGACTGCTATGATGTTTGGTCATTTGTCACACTGAACCTCCAAGTTAGAGAAAATGATAGTGATCCATAAATGTAATAATCCCAGAAAATCCAAAGTGTAAAGTATCAGAAGTTAGTGGTGAACTTGACCTATGTATCATTAGCCCAGTGAGGAATTGGAATGGAGGAGAGGAGAGATCCCACAGCCAGCAGGTTTTAATTGTAAATGTTTAAATGCTGCCACAAACCTCTGTGCCACACATGTAGTGTGCACCTGGAAGACAGCACATTGAACACCATGGAAGATGGAACACAAATATTTTAGCAACTGGGTTTTAGAAAACAGCAACAATACCAGAGAATCTCAGTGTTTTCTAAATCAACTCCATTCCCTTCAATGGAAAAAAAAATGTCAGATGCAGCAGCCTTTAAAATCACTGCCTAGTAAGGATCATTCCTTGTTGGCAAATATGTGTGGAATTTAATGTTAGACCAAAGTCTGAGAGAAATAATAGGCAGTTCAGGATGGTCTCATATACGGTTAAGTCTCACTTAGTGGAATGCCATAAAGTTCTCCATTACACAGTTGTCGAGATGGAGGGTGTCTTATTTGGGCTCTCATTACACATTATATGATTAGCCATCTCTGCTTCAAGCTCTAGTGCAGAATTCCGATCCTCCTGATCGCTGTCGGTGCTGCCATCACTGTCCTTTCCCGAGATCTCCAGCCCTCTGAGGAAATGTCCATTTCCATGCGGGATTGGATACAGCCCCTCCTGCAGACCGCTTATTCCCATTGGGCTAGGTAAGAGATCCTCATCAGACGACTGAATGGATTCATCATCTGCAACCATGTGATTCACAATATGAATCCCATCAAAGCTCATCGGAGTCGGAAAGGAGCCCTGACCTTTGAAAAGCCGGATCTGTATTCAAAAATAAACAGATGTTAATCCAAAGCAGCAAACTTTGACCTTACAGATGAAGAAACTAAACAGGTGAGAACACATCTACCTCACTCCACAATTTGTCTCCAAGTGGTTCCATAGGTTTGTTAACTCCTGCAATGGCTTGTTTGACTTGTAGGCAGTTCAGAGGACGTTCAAAGAACAAAGAACAGAGAAGATTACAGCACAGGAACAGGCCCTTTGGCCCTCCAAGCCTGCACCAACATGCTGCCTGTCACAACTAAATCTCCCTACCCTCCCGGGGACCGTATCCCTCTATTCCCATCCTATTCGTATATTTGTCAAGACGCCCTTTAAAAGTCACTATAGTATCTGCTTCCACAACCTCCCCCAGCAGCGAGTTCCAGGCACCTACCACCCTCTGTGTAAAAAAAAAAAAAAAAAAATTGCCTCGTACATCACCTTTAAACCTTGCTCCTTGCACAACCTCACCTCATAGCTAATGCCCTCCATACCAGGTAACATCTTGGTAAATCATTTCTATACCCTCTCCAAAGCCACCACATCCTTCTGGTAGTGTGGCGACCAGAATTGAACACAATATTCCAAGTGTGGCCTAACTAAGGTTCTATAAAGCTGCAACATTACCTGCCAATTTTTAAACTCATTGCCCTGGCTGATGAAGGCAAGCATGCCATATGCCTTGTTGACTTGCATTGCCACTTTCAGTGACCTATGTACCTGTACACCCAGATCCCACTGCCTATCAGTACTCTTGAGGGTTCTGCCATTTACTGTATATCTTCCATCTGGATTAGACCTTCCAAAATACATTACCTCACATTTTTCCAGATTAAACTCCATCTGCCATCTCTCTGCCCAAGTCACCAACCGACCTATATCCAGCTGTATCCTGACAGTCCTCATCGCTATCCGCAATTCCACCAACCTTTGTGACATCGGCAAACTTACTAATCAGACCAGTTACGTTCTCCTCCAAAACATTTATATATATTGTAACACCACTAGTCACAGCCCTCCTTTCAGAAACCCATCCTTCCACTACCCTCTGTCTTCTATGACCGAGCCTGTTTTTATCCATCTTGCAAGCTCACCTCTGACCCCGTGTGACTTTAACGTTCTGTATCAGCCTGCCAGGAGGGACCTTGTCACTAGACTGATAGCCGAAATGATTGGGTTGCCTTATGGAGATAGGTTAGACAGTCTGGGTTTCAGACCAGAACTGAAGAGTGAGGGGTGACTTAATTGAAGTATACAAGATTTTACGTGATCTTGACACAGTGAAAGGGATGCTTCCTCTTGTAGGTCAGTCAGAATTAGGGGGCACTGTTTTAGAATTAAGGTTCTTTCTTTCAGGACAGAGATGGGAAGAGTGTTATTCTAAGGATCGTGCAACTTTGGAACCGTCTTGGAAGGCAGTGGAGGCAAAATCACTAGACTGCTCAAAGTGGGCAGAAAAATAGCAAATCAAATTCAATTTGGAGAAGTGTAACATTATAATATTTAGAGAGGGCAAATGATAAATGGCAGGAACCAGAGAGGTAGAAAGAGGGCATTCTTGGAATGTAAGTCACAAGCCCCAAAGATAGCAGGTTAACACGCCTTTATTAATTGAGGCATGGAATACAACAGCAGGATGGTTAAACTAGAACTGTATACAACCCTAGTTAGGCTACAGCTATGGTACTGTGCAGAGTTTTGGTCACCATATTGTGGGAGGAATGTTATGGCACTGGAGAAAGAGAGAGAGGGTACAGAGGAGACTTACAAGGATGTTGCCAGGAGTCGAGACAGTTTAGCTCGAGGGAAGAGTGCATCGGTTGGAAGCATTTTCTTTTGAACAGAGGTGGCTGAAGGAAGATTTAGTATTACTGTATAAATTAATGATATCTGCTGTATCATTTTATTAAAAATAAAATATGGAAATTGTGCGTAGTTCTGATCACCACACTACCAGAAGGACTAGGATGCTTTGGAGAGGGTGTACAGAAGGTTTACCAGGATGTTGCCTGGTCTGAAAGGTTTTAGTTACGAGGAGAGGTTAGGGAAACTCGGATTTTCATAGGAAAGATGGAGGCTGAGAGGCAACTTGATAGAGGTCTACAAAATTATGGAAAGCATAGATAGGATGGATAGTCAGAGGCTTTTTCCCAGAGCAGAAAGGTCAACTGCAAGAGGGCACAGATTCAAGGTTGGAAGGGGAATGGTTAGGGGATACGTGCAGGGAAAATTTTTCACACAGATGGTAGTGGGTGCCTGGAATGCACTGCCAGTGGAGGTGGTGGAAGCAGGCATGTTAACAACGTTTTAGGTGCATCTTGATAGACATATGAACGAGAGTCAAACAGAGGGATGGAAACTGCGTATGAGCAATAAGTAGTGGGTCTAAATAAGGATTAGGAATTGGTGCTTGGTGGACCGAAGAGCCTGTTCCTGTGCTGTATTGCATTGTATAATTGTATTGTATTGTATCATACCAATAGAGACTGAATAGAAAGGATGCGAAGAATAAATAGCAGGGAGGGCAGATTTAAAAGAACAGGTTGAATGATTAGAGGGGAGACAAGGAGAAATTCAGAGTTGTAAGAGTCTGAAACTCGCTGCCTTAAGGAGTGGCATTGTCAGATAAACCCCATCATACTAACTACATATTCACATACAGGCAAAAGTGCTGAAACCTAGTGGGTTTAATGGACAAGAGCTGGCATTTGGATTCTGCTACAACTGGCAGATACCATAGGCCAAACACCCTTCTGCATCATTTTACATTTTTAAAATCCTATTATGGACATGTAGGGATCTGGTCACCTAGGTGCCACAGCCCGTAGGGATCTGGTGATTTTGATGAACTATGCATTCAAAGTGGAGCTGGCTGTTGTAAATGGCCCCTAGGGTGGTATCTCCATTGGTGATGCTATAATCCAATCAGATCATGATATTCTAACAAAGCAGGACTATGTGGTATTTTCTGCCAATCTTTTTACCTAGCCAGGTGTCATCTCATGTCCTGAAGGTGCTGATCTCTTTCTGGGGGTAAGCCCAAGGAAGATGCTAAACACAATGATCCCCCAAGTGTTAATCATCACAGTCACTCTCAAACTACACTGGGGGTGTGGAAGGTAAATCTGCCTCCCCAAATCTGCAAACATCCAGGTGGGCACACTCCTAAATAGAAATGGCAAGGAGCTGCTCCTCCAACCACAGGATAGTTCTCGTCTGTGTTTGCTGTTAATTGAGCAGTGAAGAGGTTAAGAAAGAGGCTGCAATGGGGTTGGGGGAGACAAGGATTCTATAAAACGTGCTGGGAGCAGAGGTGGTGAGCATAAAGGGCAGTGGGGTAGAGAGAGGAAGGCTGCATTGAGAAGAGAATTCTTTGATTCTGGGAGAAAGAAAGTAGGAGGCTGCAACGAAGAGAACAGTTTCTAACTTGACGAAGGAATACTCAGCTAACTAGGAACCAGGAAATCTTGAAATCACTAAGACATTGAATTACTTGCACATGAATGTGGAATCTCTAGCTTAAGGTTTGTGGTCAGTAGCTACTGTATGGAAAAAGGTTGTAGATACTTTTGGAATGAACACTGCCAATTCTTAAATCAGAGATTGAGATGCAGTAAAGGAATAGTTACTGCCCGGCTACAATATTCCAGCTTTGTGACTCCATAATGTTGAAAGCTTATATCTGTATTCTTATGCTAATTTAAATGCTGCGATATTTAAATTTACGGCTTCCTTGTGTTGCACTTAAAATTTAACATATGCTTGATAATTTTCTAAAGGGTATTGATGACTTTTTCTAATTCTGCTTCTGTCCGAATCTAAATACAACACAAATATAGAAGGGATAGTAGGAACTGCCGATGCTGGCGTCTGAGATAACAAGGTGAGAGGCTGGAAGAACACAGCAGGCCAAGCAGCATCAGAGGAGCAGGAAAGCTGGCGTTTCGGGTCTGGACCCTTCTTCAGAAATATGTAACAAATACAGAAGGTTTTGGTACTACGTGACTGTATTACCTAATAAATAAATCAGGACAACTTTGGTCACCTTCTTCCAGGATCAGCCAATTCAACACTGACCAGAAATTTAACAGCTTCATAGTTGGTGCTTAAGTTTGCTTGATTAGTTATTTAATGGAGGGAGTGCAGCCTGGTTGACATTCCTGTTCAGGTGGGGAAGGCTGTGAAAGGGTGGCACAATAAAATAAAACTGAGGATCCTTTGAGACCCTGACATCTTGTAACTTAAAGTCCATTCTGAGAGATAGATTATATATCCCCCCACCCCCACTTCCCAGTAATAGACTTCCATTCAGTCAACCACCAGGAATAAATCTGCATTCATTCTTTCATCTGCACCCTCCCTTTCTATAGGCATGAACTGTTAGTTCCCCAGAGAATAAACCTCTACTCCGTCTCCACTCCCTCACTTAACTCAGCAGCCTCAATGCAGTTCCACTTCAACCTGGCAGTAGCCTCTTTCCACACAGGAGAAAGACTGCCGACTGTTTTGTGCTGCAGACTGGATTGACACAGTCGAGCACAGTCCAGTTTGAAATTAATGGTCTGTAGAGACCTCCAGGACACCCTGGTCCACTCTTCCTTCACTCCCAACAGCACCTTTCCTGATGGCCAAATGGTATTATCGCTGGACTGTTAATCCAGAGACCCAGATAATGATCTGGGGACCTGGGTTCGAAATCTGCCAATGGCAGGTGGTGGAATTTGAATTTATAAATATCGGGAATTAAGAGTCTAATGATGACCATGAATCCATTGTCGATTGTTGGAAAAACCCATCCGGTTCACTAAAGTCCTTTAGGGAAGGAAATTGGTATCCTTACTTGGTCTGGCCATATGTGATTCCAGACCCACAGCAATGTGGTTGACTCTTAACTGTCCTCTGCGCAGTTCGGGATGGGTAATCAATGCTGCCGAGTCTTCAATGCCCTATTTCTGTGAATTAATAAAGAAAAAAAACTGCAGAAGGTGCAACTCCTG